CCATGCTAGCGCTGTCTCTCGGCAGAGCTAAACAGCCTGCCCGCGGCACCACAATCAGGTGGTTTCACTAGCCAGAACGGGCCTAAATCCCGTCAGGTTCTGAAAATACCTAGTGGGTCGGGAACCAGGACCATGCTCTGGATTTTGGTACCCTAAAATTGGGTGCTTCTCCCAGAGCTACAGGGTAAGACTGAAGCTTGGTGAGGTGCAATCAGAGTCGTTGCACAGCAAGGGGATCCCGGGAAGCACTTGTGTGTCACTGCCTTGGTTTGTGGTGGCTTTGCACTGCGCGTGCAACTGAGATGGGGGGGGAAAAAAGGAAGGAAAGCACAGGCCAGGTCCAAAAACACACGCCTGTGGGGTCTGTAGGAAGGTTCTCTGGGACCCTCGAAGCCCGTGCCCTTCCTGGCAGCTCGGCCCCCTCTCCGAGGCCTCTCGGCTTGCGTTGCCCCAGCTCCGTCCCAGCTGACTGTGCTGTGTGCTTATTCGCAGCCCCCTCTCCTCCGTGGGCAAAGTTCAAGGGCCCGCGGAGCAAACGATAGCAGCGGATTAGGAAAACAACTGCAGTCCGTGAGGGTTACACAATGCGGGGACTGAGCCAGGCAGGGGGCACGTGGCACCCGCAGAAGGAAGGGGGCAACAAGAGGGTTGGAAGGGACCTCAGTGCAACCCCCTGCTCCACGCCGGACCATCCCGCGTCACAGCAAAGCACGGCAGAGCTGAAAAGGACCCCAACCACTTCCAGGACTATAAACTAGGCTTGGGTCAGGCAGACAACCCGGGAACCCCCATTCCTGGCTCGGAGCCACAGCTGCATGCCTGCCCCTTGCCCAGACTGGTTTCCTTACAAGCCAGTTTGGAGGGACGAGGCTGACCCCCGAAGCCCGGCCGTTGGCTACGAGTCACTAATTCAAGACTCCTGGAGGGATCTGAGAGCACAAGACCACAGCAGTGCCCCAGAAGAGCTCGCAGCCCCGACGCCAGGCACTCACTTGTCGTAGATGAGGAAGTCGTCCTTATCCCCATCCAGGACCTGCCAGACGTCGGGGTCCAGGATCCCCTGCTGGTACACGGGCACCCCCTCGGGGGCCTGGCGCTTCAGCTCCCAGTACATGGCCCGGGACAGCGGCGCCTTCTCGTTCACGATCATGTAGCTGACGTTGGCCATCCCTTGCCGGGACAGCTTCTCGCGCAAGCCGCCAAGGCTGGGAGGAGCGAAGAGCCGGGGTGAGGAGACGGGATGCTGCCGCAGCACAGCGGCTGGCTTCAGCCCCCGGCCGGCTCTTCCCCGCGCCCCGCCAGCCCCACGGGAAGGACGGAGCGAGCCCCAAGCCCACCTGTTAGCTTGCTTGAGACAGAACTGTCAGCTGGCCTTCAAAAGCGCCACCACCGTCACCTGCCCCAGCGCCTCGTCCATTGGGACCGTCCCATTGATCTTCCACAGCGGAGCTGGCTGGCAGATGCGGTCGGTGACTTCTGCCAGCACGGTGGCCACCAGCCCCAGGAGAGCGGCCACCGCCAGGGCCGGAGGCCCCATCCTGGCCGCCCTGCCTAAGCCTGGGGAGCGAGAGGAGTGTTAAGAGTCGTGTTGAGCCTGACCTCTCTCCTGCACACCTGGGGCAACAGCCAAGACATGGGACGGGGTCAGACAGACGCACGGCCACATTTCCAGGGGCTCCTCTAAGCCCCTCGGGTGGCCCTAACCCAGGGAGCAGCTACCTGTGCCTGGGAATACAGCACGCTGCCTTCCCCCACCAACAACCGAGACCCGGTTTTCCCTGCAGTGCTTGGACTCCCACATCCGCAGCAACCACGTGCAATATGTTCACATGCTGAACAGGTCTACATTACACCCGTGCCAAAATGCAGCCACCTCTGGGGTGGACCCCCAGCAGCTCTACCCCGCAGGACACAGCACAGCTGAAGCGGAGATCTCCACACCCGGTACAGAGAAGCAGAAGGGGCTTTGGGGGGACAGAGTCTAAGTATTTGTGCTGGCTGGTGCACAGGGACCAACCCGTTTGTACATCGAGAAGGTCAGCAGCCACAGACAACGCAATGGGGGAGCCCAGATCTAATCCCGCAGCGGCACCAGCCCCACTGTGCTCCGGGGGCCCGCTAGCCCCTTGGCCCAGAGCTCTGCCGCTGCGGAGAACCCGGAGACTTGGGCTCATCTCGGCTGCACCCCGGGGCGGACGTGCCTGAACACAGCCCAGAGGCCAACCCTCATTTCAGACGTCCCTGGCTCCTTCTTACAAGCCCCCGACCCCTCCAATGCATGCATCTTGCCCCCACCCCAATCCCTGGGGCCTCATCCTGGCAGCTGCTGAGCTCCCTGCGCTTCCCCAGGTCTAGTCACCCCGTCCCCAAGATGGAAAAGAGAGGAGATACTCTGCCTTTGCCCAGTGCCTGGAGGCACCGCGGCTCTGTCGTGGGCTGGGCTGCTCTCTCCACCCAGCCCCAGCCAGTTCCTGCTCCCTTTTATTTCCCAGCCCAGCTCTCTCCACCCAGGAGGGAGGGATAAGGGAGGGCTGCAGCCCCCTGCCCGAGAGAGGACAAACAAGGCGGAGATGGCACTCGCTGGTGCCGCATGACTTGTCCCTTCAAATGCTTTCCAGCCCTCGCTGCAGCAGCTGGACCCAGGCAGTGCCAGGGCACAAGACCAGGGGAAGCTGCTGGTATCCTGCCCAGGCCCTCGGCAGCCGGCACAGGATGTTTGCTGCAAGAAACCAAACCACTGTTCGAGAAGCAGAAGCTTTCTGCACATCCGGCCGCCGGGTCCTGCCCGTCCGGGCCAGCCAAGTCGCCAGGTGGAGCTGGGCCCAAGCGGATGCCTCTGTTTTATGCTCCGGGACTGCACCCCGAGGACGTGAGAGACACCCCGGATGCAGCCCCCTGTCCTGGCGCACCCCTTGGAAGACCACTCTGTGCCCCTCGGTCCCACCAGGCGTCCAGGGGACACAAGCCCCTTCCCCGGCACCCCGACCTGCTCACAGGAGGGGCAGGCTGCTCCGAGCCAGAGGCAGGCAGCCGTGGGGGTGCTGGGACCCGGGCCCTGCTGCCCTTTGTCCACATAGTGGCACAGGACAGTGCTGGCAGCTGCGGCTCCCAGCCACGAATGCCGCCCGAGCCCCAGAGCCTCCTCTGATGGGGAAACTGAGGCAGGGATTTACCCCAGAGGAGATACGCGTGACAGCAGGACCCCAGAGCCCCCCGCTTTCCCGTGCATTAGCTACCAGACCGTCCTCAGGGGCAGACTAGCTTCACAACGAGCCTTGCCCGCTTGCCTGGGGCTGCAGCGGGGAAGCCGGAGACCCCCGCCCGAGTCCCGGGCAGGAGCTCGCTGCCAGGGGCGGGCAGCAAACATTTGAGCAGTTCATTGCGCCGGGCAAACACGGGATAAGCCGGCGAGGGGCTGGGCCCAGGGCCCTGGTGCAGACAAACAGAGGCGGGCACGCGGGCGCGGGGCGAGAGTCCCACCCGAGACATGTCCCCGAAACAGAGAGGAAAGGGCATTTCCTACGGCCCCCGGCAGCCCTCCCGCCTCCACCTCAGTCATGCCGCTCCCTGCATCCAGCCAGGACCCCCCCCGCGCTGGGGGCCGCCCCCCCCACAGGGCTGCGAGCTGCCGGGGCACGGTGGCATGGAGGTGCACCCCAGCCAGCCCCTTTGCAGGGCTCAGCTCCTCCCGGCTGGAAGAGGCTGAGCTCAAGCGGAGTCTCCCCGAGCCGGCAGCAGTACAGGGTCTCTGATACCCAACCCCACCGGCTTTGGACGCAGCACCTGCTTTATACCGGGATAAGGGCTCTAACAGACGTTCCCGCCCCTTGCCCCGCCTCAAGCCCCAGGGGAGTGCCCGGATGAACCCTTTTCCGCCCCGGCACAATCATGGGCGAACGCGCTGCGTGTGCAAGCACCCCCCGCCCCTCCCGAAACCGGATCGGAGGCGCGTGTGACCCGCCCGCCCGGCGGGCCCGATCCCTGCGCAACCCC